ACTGATTGCAAACGACCTTTTCATTTACTTTAGAAACAACTGGTAAAATACTGATAGGTCTATAGTTAGTTACATTAGCAGGATCACCAGTCTTCAATATAGGTTTATTATGTATATAAAGTTGGACATATTAGTATATCCAACTTTACCCGCATACATAAAGTATACTCACATAAAGTGATAAATACTACATAGCAAATTTCAGCTGCTTGATAGTTTACATCAGGGCTGTCCAAACTCGGTCCTGGAGGGCCGGTGTCCTGCAGAGTTTAGCTCCAACTTGCCTCAACACACCTGACTGGAAGTTTCTATGCCTAGTAAGAGCTTGATTAGCTGGTTCAGGTGTGTTTAATTAGGGTTGGAGCTAAACTCTGCAGGACACCGGCCCTCCAGGACCGAGTTTGGACAGCCCTGGTTTACATCTTCCCAAAATGTACTTTATATTATCACCCAGCTATAATCTGCTAAAAGCAACTATAATGTATGAAGATATTAACATTAAACATTGACATTATGATTTTCTGTAAAGCTGCTTCAAAACAGTGCAAATTGTGAAAAGCACTACAAAATTAAACTGAGTTTACTCGCTCACAGATGTATCAGAAATAACCTTATGCACTATAAAATGGTGTCAACGTCCTTTAGAAAATGTTTTCACTTACTTTCTCCATTTGGATGACAAGAATGATAATGCTGCCTAGGTCTGCAGGCCTTATCTGACAGCTGTATTAAAACGTCTTCAGAAAAAAGGTTGGAGACATTCATCTGTGATCAAGGTTAAAAAATCTTGTTGCATTGCTCTCTACTTGTTGAAAACATTTGTCTTCAATAAAAAAACCAAGCCTAGTGGTATCTGAAATAATTGAACTGTCACAAAACTACCGAGCGAGCTGATAGATTGTAGTTCAGTTTGAGAGCAGAAAAGCAGGTCCCAGTGACAGCACAAGCTGTGTGTCACCATAAAAATCTATCCTGAGGAAAGAATACTTGAAATGTTTAGCAAAAAACAGCGTGGAATGAGCCAGCATTCATAAATCCGGCCCATTGCAGACAGAGCTCTGAAAATTAGCAAATTCTCCTGAAGAAAAAAAAAAATCACAGAAGGATGGGAAAACAGAGAAAGAAAGCAGAAAGAAAAAAAAGGAAAGGACAAACAGAGAATGGATATATAAATAAAACCTAAGAAGAAAACAAAGCTGTACTGATGCTCTGGAGAAAATTGAGATGACAGAAAGAAAAAAAAAAAGTGGCAGAGTGATCAGGAGAACAAGGAGGTATTAGGAAAAGAGAATGTGAATGTTCATTCTGGCACAAGTGTTGTGTATGATACACACATTAGAGTTAATTTATAGAGAAGCTGACTGAGGTCTGATCATTATCATTTATCCTCAATTAAGCAGCCAGCTCTCCAGAGCAAGAAAAAGACAGCTGTATAAATGATTTACACAGAGAGAAGCCATAGAGCCACAGAGCAGAGACGTCTCCTCTAGATTTAAGAGCAAAGAGGTATCAGATTTAATGGACAGTATTAACTTGATGCAAAACAGCATATCCACAGCGTATTTATGAGCGCCGACTCTTGCAAGCGTATACACACACTCAAACCATTTGGATGGAATGGGTGTACTGCTGTAGATAATACTGTTTATCTTTATGTACATTTCTGCTGCTGTCTCTTATGGCAGATGACACCAGAATGACAAAGTGCTGAACTGCTGAGTATTTTTTATTTGTTTTTATTGTTTTTTTTTAAATTTAGACTATTGTTCAAAGCTTGGGGCCAGTAAGATTTGTTAAATATTTTTTTATTTTAATTCTTTTTTTTTTCCGTATAGATTTAACAAGCTGATCAAAAGTGATAGTAAAGACATTTATGATGTCACAAAAAAATTCAACTTCAAAATATATATATATCATGGTTTCCACAAAAATATTAAGCAGCACAACTGTTTTCAACACTGATAATAATAAGAAATGTTATTTGAGTACCAAATTAGCATATTACAATAATTTCTGAAAGATCATGTGATACTGGAGTAATGGCTGCTGAAAACTCAGCTTTGCCCTCACAGAAATAAAATAAATTTTAAAATCTATTAAAATATAAAACAGTAATAATAATACATTAATAATATTTGACATTATTACGGTTTTTTTAACCAAATAAATGCAGTCTTGGTGAGCATAAGAAACTTTTTGAATCAGTTTACTGAATGTCACATTGGTAAAGAGAATAGAATTTTGCTGCAATCTCAATGAAATCACTCTATATAAAATAAAAGCTTTTATTTATTTTTTATTTGATTAATTATCAGTATTTAAGAATACTGATTTGACCATGCACCTTTTATAAACCTCATTCAAAAACAATATTCATTTATTTAGGGGTAAAGCTTTTTTAATGAAGAAAAGCAATCTGTTTGACTCCACTGCATCACACAGGACTGAGATGAGGAGCACCAGCAGCTTGATCTGACACATTCATTTTATTACTCACTTTGTCCAGTAGAGGGAGCAAGACCTCATAACGGCCATGCATATAACAAGACGTGGACATTACTCTGGTGATGGAAAAGTGTAGCGTTTGCAGATGAGTTATTTTTTTAATTAATTTCATGCTGAGGATCATTTAAAACGATCTAAAGTCCATTTATGCACATTCATTTTCTGAGAGAGTATTTCTCAATCTGCAAGAAACAGTGAGCGCTATGTAAGTGAGGCATGAGCTACTGCAGAGAGAGAGATCCAGATTTAGACATTTTCTGAGCAGACAGACACTCTGCAAAGTTTCAGTCAAATTGAGTCAGTAATATAAAATTGAGCTAATCACATTGGTGAAAATTGCAAACACTATTTCAGCATATAAGAGCATTAAGGCACTAGCAATTCACTTACAAGCGATTAACCAGGAGCAGAACGAGGTAATTGGGAGAAGGCAGAATGAGAGAGAATGTTTCTATGCAACTTTGTCTGCCTGCCATGTTTTTCTAATTCAAGCTAATGAGGCAGTTGGGCTGAATCTAGTGAGACAAACAGCCCGTGGCCACCTCCTCTACACAATGACGCAGTTACAAAGTGTGTCTGTGAATGTGTGAACGTGCAATTATACTCAACGCTCGTTCTTTGACACATCCAGGCAACGACTAAATGGAGTTTGGTGTGTGTGTAATATGTTTTGCGGTCTGAAGACATGCACGATTTCTTAATATAACACTAATACTGCCATGAACATCATGAAAGGATATAGTCACTGGTGCAAACTGCCCTCCGTACATGTGTACAGAAAGGCAAACATGAAGACATGTAAATGTACAGTTCAGGTAATGTGCACTGCAAAAATATCCCTAGATAAACAGCCATTAAAGCACAAGTCCGATCATTCATGCATCACCTTATAGAAATGTAATCTCCCAGAAATACAAACGCATGTCTATACCCTGGAAAAGAGCAGAAGAAAAGACAGAGAGGAGGAGAAAATCTGAACCTTCACTCCAAAAATAAAACAGATCTTTAGTTTGGCATAGACTGTGTTTCGGCTTCTGATGGTAATGACATTATAAGAGCGCTACTGGACAAACCCTCATAAATAAGAACTGTGGTTTCCAGACAGACAGAATGCTGGGAAGGGCACGTAAGAAACACATCCTGTCTAGAGTTGAACACAGCACTGTAACAAACGCATCCCCAAACACCTCAAACAAATCACAGAAAACAAACTTTTCAAAACCACTTTCCAAACGATCATTCGGTGAGAATCAAACAGGATTTTGTTATCAAGTGCTTCTTTTTCCTGACGTCTGGTAGAGGATGAGCACCTCCCTTTGGGAAAATCACATTCGTTATCCTGTGTTTTACTGGGCTAAAAATATCTATCTGCGGCTGAACTTTGCTTGGATGTTTTTCTTTACATGATTCATAGCTCCCTACACTGAAGAAGATCCTTTTAAAAATGTGTACGCACTGTGCCCTCGGGTGCTTGACATCAGTGCCCTTTTTATCTAGAGTAGGCCTATGCCTTCTATGATACCATTTACTAAATTATAAAAGGAGGTGATATGCCTTTGAATTATTTTATACTCATACGTTAATGCGAGAGACCAGTTTTGCAAATTGAGTTATTTGTAAACACAGTTTTAATGTATTGACTAGGGGTGGTGTAATATACAGTATTGATGATAAAATGAAATACTGATATCATGTTAATACGACACATGATAATATGGTAAATAACCCTGCCATTATCTGGTCAACACTCCAACACAGTGGGAATACTGCACCTTAATGCTGGTTGCAAACTACCATAAAACAGAAAAAGACAACGACGCTGTGTAGGTAGTACTGCTGCACAAAAATTATGTCAGAGGAGATGCCAGAAAAAAGTGAGACACTCTGCCTGTACTCGAAAAAATTAGCTCACCAGAGTGGACATTAGACACCCCAGACTTGCCATGTCCCCGAAAAATGTTCACCCTAAAGCCAACTCAAAGCCTGCCCAAACAGAATAAAAACTAGCCTAATTTTCCTCCTGTCCAATCACAGTTGACAGGTGCGGGAGTTCCAAATGTGCCATCTTTTCTTCAGTTGCTATTTCTTCTTTAGGTTGCCAGGTATTCATTCCAAGTATCAATGCACATTAGTTTTCTTTGTCATTAGTATGCAGTTGGATTATGAAAGTAGCCCAAAAAACTCGGGAAAACCACAACCCTGTCAACTCTGTCTGCAGGAAGTGTGATTTTGTACACTTGATTTTCCGTCTCCCAGTCCTAATATTGTTAGTGTGATTCATTTTTATTTTCCGGAATACAAAAAATATGAAAAAAATAAAATAAAAATAGATAGCAAGATAAAAATTAACCATATATTTTATATATTTTGTGATAATATCATTATAGTGACTTCTTTTGGCCACAGTAATTTTGTATTGAAAATCGGGCTCCATGACAGCCCTAGTGTTGACACGTTGTTGGTGAGTGCATATACAAGCCAATGTGTTTATTTACCTTTAAGTATTTGACTAGTTTCTGGATCTGCCAGTATTCAGAGGGCAGGTCGGTGGGCATCTCGGCACGTCTTTCAGGCTGTTCCTCATCTTCCTCATCCTCTGTTGAACTCTCACTGAAGTCATCAGCTCCTCCTGGGCTTTTACTGAGCATACACACACATATGCACCTATTAGACTTATTAATATTCAAGCTGGCCCACAATTTTATGTCTTTCAGACACACACTTGGAAAAGTACTCTCCCACGGAATTTTCTCAGGGTAGAAACGAGAACTATCCATACATAACAGGACATTATAGAAAAAAGCCCTTTCTATAATAAACAGAGCTTAATACATCAAATCGGAGGAGAGTTGGAGCAGGTGCAAGCCAAACCACACAGCACATTCTCTCAAAGCTCTGGTAAAATCTCTCTGAATCCAATGTGGAATTAATTATTGCTCTCTGAAAGGCCTTCATGCTCAAACCCTTGGACACAACAGCCATCAAACTCAGGGGTGTATTTGAAGTGTCATCTTAAGCCATGGCATCAAATTAAACAGCAGGGGATGGAGAGAACAGAGACAGAGCAACAGAGAGAGAGGAAGACTGGAGTGGTCATCAGTGTGTTTCTGAACTCTTTCATCGCAAGCTTATACACGCACGCACAAACGCAGATGGCCGTTAAAGCAGATCAGGCTACTGAAATGAATGTATCGTCAAACGAGTCATGAAACCCGGTACACACGGAGAAGAGGCCAGAGGGACTCAGATATGTTTTCCAGGGGATAACAGTATTGCCGGACAGCAGGGGACTCGTCCCTTTGTAATTCTCGCCATGAAAAACAACGAAATTGGTGTTAGTCACTTACTAGAAGTAAAATGTGTATACCGCAATGCAAATGATTGTAAGTGTGCTGGCTTAGTGTGTTATGCCTTACATTACTGATGCGCTTGTGTACAATGAACACACAAACGATCTTTAGAAAGCTACATTTAAAACACTTCTATTAGCAGTAAGACTTGGGAAAGAGAGACTGCGGCTACACCCGGAGCTCCTTACAGGCAGGACTGTGTACTCTGGCAGTCGATGTTATGGGGACAGCTGGAGTTTTCACTCACCATCGCCAAACAGACAGAGAGGAGTCAGGAGAAGGAACAGGGTTATCAGCGGCTCAGGCATAGGCAGACCGCCTACATATTACAGACCGCTACTCCCAGTAGCACCAGAGGACCGTTCTGTGTGCACACCAACCTGAACGGCTGCTTCATCCGTGTCTTATTAAAGGCTATAAAATGAATACTTATCCACAGCTGAAATAATTTGCCCTGAAAGTGAGTCTTTATTTCCAATTCAGTGATTGGATATGTTTTTTATGTTTGGCCAGGAGAATAAAGGGTTATTTAATTATGCGTGTTCCTGAGAGAGGGTTTTTCAGATCCTGTTTCAATGGTTAGGTTTTTACCTCAGAGACAATACCATATGTACAATGAAAAGGCGATTTCTGTGGACTGAGATTATGGTGGCATACATTTTTTGAGAAGACTGGCAGCCTGGCAAAGACGATCCAGAAAAATTTGCTTTTTTTTTGTTCTCGGATGCGGGTGACTTTGTGCCATTTTCCAAGATCTTCTTGCTTTCTCTGCTCCTTCTAGACTTCTCCTCTGCCTCGCTGGAAAAAATAACAACAACCAGATATTTAACATGTTTATACATTTTAAAAAGTCACCATGAAATCAAAACCAACATTTTTTTAACTGAATATTGCTTAGTTTTAATTATTACTGATTTATCTGTGCAAACCATTATTTAAAAAAAAAAAAAACTTGCCATAATTGTTGAACTTGTCACTCACATTAAATGACTGCAGCAATTAGCAAATAAATACAAACCAATCAATTTCAGATGGGAAACATTCAAATCCCGGCCTACATTTGTTTCTCGTTTCTAAAAGTCATTTTACTTGGATAGGAAAAAAGTCACAATTTCAAGTCAACCTTTTTTGCCCTCAATGATTTAAATTGTTTTTGGGGTACAAAAAAGGTCAGGTAACATTTCAGATTTTGAATTCACCTGTTATGATGTTACATAATGTCTTGTATGATTTGTATGTCTAGTCTGATATTTTATTTGTACCACACAAGTATCACCTATGACTATGTGGATGTTCCATATACAGTGTACTAAAAAGCCACTTCAATTTTCAGTTTAACTGGTGCCTTTGTTGCATTTCCCTTTCATTTTTAAAAATTGTTTAATTGATTTTGTTTTCTCCCATCAGGTAATATGTTTGTTTCAGCCTTCTGTAGCTCTCTAAAGTGTGTCTAGTTCTGTGACACCTTACAGAGAAAGCTTACATCATTTATATGCAAGTTTGGTTCTGGCAGAACAGTGTAAATTTTCACATCTGGGAAATTCTTATTTCTCCAAAACAAAGGATTATTGTTTTGGAAATCCTAGATGACTGGCCAGAGGAGGTTTACCAGTAACAAGTGTTGAAATAGCCAAAGGGCTGATTTGTCTGCTAGATCAATCCAAGGAGGAGAACACATGCCTGAGTGATCAACTCTGGCTTTATCAGCTGAATGTCACTATGGATAGCTATGCCATGACTTCACCAACTGACACTCACAAGAGAACAGCCACTAATGTATAAGACATATAACCAAGTCTGGCTGACTGTTGAACTGTGTATCTATACAGTATGTAGACAAACAGTATGTAGAATGCATGCAGCACTCTAGCAATCATCAGTGTCGTGGCCTCTGATTTTCAAGCTGTGATGGTTTTTTGGGAGTCCACTGGGATTTGGAATTATCACTTACTCATAAGAAGACGCGAGGCCGAGGTTCTTCCATTTCAAGGATGGTTCTAATTTCTTCTTCCTACCGCTCAGCTTGTTCCGCGCAAGCTGTTGTCTCGCCTTCTCAGGCACATATTTTTCCTCATGGTCGTAAGACTTCAGGGTTTGGCCTGTTTCCTCAACATCAACTGTTTCCACATGTAAGATCTTTTTAGCGGATGGCACATCTTGAATGGCAAAGTCCTGTAGAAAAGAGTGAATAAAACAGAAACAAGATAGTTAGGAAAAGGACATGTTTCAATTTGTACCAAATACATGAACTTGGGTAGTTAAAAAGAGTTCTTCCTTTCAAGTATTCTTCATTTAACAAAGTTCTTCATGAATGCAATCTTATTTTCCCTTTTACACCTGACATATTGTCTCTTTATTGGGGAGGCACATCACACACTCATCTTCAAGCTAACGTAGACATTTCATTCTAAAAAAAAGAGACGTATAAAAACTTAATCCCACTTATGAATTTGTATCCCTGAACATTTATATAATACAGCCTTTCTCCACAGTCCACTGCCAGAAAAACAATCCTGCCTTTGAGTTATGAGAATAAATGAAAAAAAAAAATAAAAATAGAAACATATTTCCAAAATTTCTTCTGTTAATTGCCTATACAATGTGAGAGGTTTATTGTTTCTGTACATTCTTGAACTGCAGCTGGAAATTTGGCACACAGTCAGTGGAGTCTTTGTGGCACAGTAACGCAATAATGATTTTTTTAAATTATAAGAGACTCTTTCTCTTTCTCCTACTTCTTTATTAACTTTGTGAGAAGCTCAACAGGCGACATATGAATGGTTAAGAGGCAGGAAAGATTTTAGTCACAGGCACCTGCTATTAGCCCTTCAGTTAGTTCCATCATTTAGAGAGATGTAGCAAGAAAACATAACAGAAAGTGCAAGAAGAGAGAATAGTATGAGAGAGGAAGAGTTCAGAAAGAGTACACAAGGGAAAAAGCTTTTAATATGGCACAAGGGACTCTGTATAGATCCAGCTGGGCTAAGCACACTTTGTGCCTTTCATGAGCTTGTTTGGCCTAAAGAAGGCCAAAGTTAAGAACAGCCAAAGTTATATCCATTTCCTTTTACCACTCCACCCACCTTTAATATTATAATTGAAGTAATAAACCTGCAAAAACCCTGTCCAAGACCAAGTAGGGAGAGTGAACTCTCCAGTATGGCATCCCCAAACAGAAGCCTGAATATCAAGAGAAAACCTCAAAAAGTGCTCAGTAAACCTCAAACTACTACAACATCTAACTATGAAAGAAAGAAAGACAAAGAAAGAAATGTGCAAGACAAATGAATTCTATTTCAAAACCCAGTGAGCTGACTATTATAGATGGTACTCACAACTGATGATGCAGTACTCTAATATGCATAAACATACACAATATTTAGGTCCAATTGTTATTAAAAATGAGTATATTTTACTCAATATACATAAAATGTATAATATTTTATATTTATATTCACTATAGTTCTAAAGTTTGGGGTCTGTAAGATTTTAACACAGAACACAGGACACAGAATTCTGCATTAGAATTTGTGGTTTCTAGGTTTCTTTCAAGGCAGCATAAATAAGTCACCTTTTGAAACAACCTTTGCATTTAGAGTGTGTCTATGATGCATTTAAATACTACCTTCTTCAGAGGAATCTTACTAGGTTTTGGAACAGAGCGACAGTCTTCCTGTCAAAGTCTGACAAAGCAGTAGAGTATGATATCTTTTCCCTGATGAATGTCACCTTCTGCTCAGCCCTGGCTGTGCATGTTAGATTAAAAGTGTCTGATCTGATAAAAGTATAAAAACGCATCGGTTCCTCACGCAGCTGATATGTTAGGAGATACAGCTTGTTGTCTTTGGCTGAGAGCTGGTGTGTGCTGAGGGTTTCTGGGCTGAACGATCACGGTCCGGTGCTTGACTGATGGCTGAAGGACCAGAGCATGTCTGAGACTTATTACAGCAAACTCAGGCTGCAATCCAGAGCCTATTCTCTGCTGAACTTTTCACGTTACAAGAGTCCCATAGTGCAACTAAAAGCATTATCTGCACTCAAATCAACATGCGCCCTAACGTAACGGGTTCGTTTCAGGTGGATAAACGTGTATTTGTAGAAGGTGATAAGAGTCTTGACCAAAACGGAGAACTCTCATATGTAGCCTTGTAGAAATGTGTTTGGAAGACCTTAGAAAGACATGGAAAGAAAGACATAGAAAAGCAAACTCATGAAATCTAGAAAGCAAGGAACCAATGCAAAATATGGAGAACAAAGAGGGGTTTGATTTGTGTCTAAGCAGACTACTTTTATGGCTCTCTCTTTACGGCCTCTGTCCATCACCCGTCATGGTTGAGCTCCCGCCCGCTGGCATAATAAAACATAAAAGTCTGGTGGGCATTTTTACACACACAAACGCTTGCACGCCGAACCGCCTGCCTGGCATCATCGCTTCAAAGAATAATAAAGTCTTTCTCCTCACTGCCACCAATAATCGAACTCAACCTGCTAGCACATATCCAGCCTTGTTCAAAAATCAAACACTTAAACCGCACCGAGAATATTCACCTCATTCTTTTTCTTTTCTTTTTTTTCGGCAATACATATTGTTTCAAAGCAGCTTTGCAGAAAATAGTGCCTTAATACCCCCAGTGAGCAAGCCAAAGGCAATATGGCAAGGAAAATCATTCTAGAATATCACACCAGAAGTGCACCATCTGTTCAGTAGGTTAACCGTAGTCAATACGAACTTTAAAGTGGCATTTCCTGTCTCGATAAGAACGGTAATATTGGCAACAATATTCAGACACCTTTCAGCAATAGCAAGTATGACTGTGACTGTTATGTACCAAATAAACAGCCTGACGTGATTTACACAAGTAGGACATGTTCCTTTATCAACATCCTTTGTTGTTCCTGAAACAACATTCCTATTATTCAATCATTGCCTTATGATTTTAGAGCGTTAGGGCTTTGATTGGTTGCTGAGGATGTTGTTCTAGGGACCTACGAAGGATGTTGATCCAGAGACATAGTGTCAAATAAGCAAGTACAGCATATAGCTCTACTTCAGCTTTTTCTCATAGAGCTTTAGAATGATAGCACACTTAGACTGAACATTCATCAGAGCCAAGAGTTATGGAAGGGGAGCAGAGCTACTGAGCACAGACTCATGGGAACTGTTCCTCAAGTGAGGAAGATGAAGCCTGTCCTGGACCTGACAGAGTTTAACTTGGACATCTCTGCTGAGAGTAAAGGTAAAATTCTGCAGCAGGCTTAGTTTGTGTCTGAAAACTGGCTCTGAATGCAGAATGAATAGATGAAAGGAACATTTTATACTTTTTGTCCTCAAGGTAACTGACGGGAGCACCAGACAGAGTTTTTTTTACACCGGCAGAGTAGCGCTAGACAATAACCATTACTATATGGTAGAGCAGTAATCTTTCTGTCTGCCTTCATTTTCCATCTGCAAACTGTATCGGCGAGAGATAACATCACCATCATTTAGCAACGAACATAAAGAGAAATCTGTCTCGATGATGGAGTTTCCGTTTATATTGCTCAAGGACAGAATTATGTTGGTTATAAAACCGCCAATGGTCGGCATAAAACATTAGCGTGGATCTGAGGACTTTGTTTTAAGAAAAGAAAAGTACAAGTTGGAGGAAATCTTTTGTCTGCATCAACAAAAAGGCATTTACTGAGCTGTGCTACCGATGAAGCTGAAAACAAATCTGGACAACATTGAGTCAGCCCCCCCCCC